TGCGTATTAGCTATAGAGATATTTAACTTTTTAATTACTTATTTAATTATAAAGTAAAATAGCTGTCTTTAATCGAGGTGGTTAACCTAATCTGGAATGTGTCAGAACTTTTGCCGACCCACTGTAATAACGCTAACCTCCACTGGGCTCCTGCTTTGATCCACTGAGAGCGGCATTTCTGCAAGCATCTCTTTTTGGGCGGCGGCGGTGGTGGTGTTGATGATAATGGGAAAGAACTGACTGTCTAATGCATTTCCATGATTCAATACCCTTTCCTCACCGTGCACCTTCCACAATCCGATCCGATGCTAATAAACTCCCTTGCATTGCGTTGCATCACATCTCACAATCACATCAGCTACCTACCTAATACCCGTGTCTCAGGCTGAGGTAATCAATCACTTTTCCCTTCTCCTCCCGTCCCCCCAAATTGAAGCCTTTTCTTTGTCGCCAACATTGACTCTGTTGAACCTAGCATCTCTCGGCACGGCAGGGCAGCGCATGGCAGGGCAGTGAGCTGAATTGACCGATCGACAGATTTTCTCCAAGCCAAAAACCTTGTTCTCCTATCGACGAGTTCTGGAAGTGACCCTGGCAACCTTGGCTAGCATATCACCAATCAAGTCTCCCACAATCGAACCAGATTCCACCAACTTCATCATCCCGCTTTGCTTGCCGGTCGGCTGGTACCCAAGCTAATTTCGGTATATACGTAATCCGTGTGTCCTGTGCACGTTCATGTGAAACTAATGCGCTGGTCTGCTCATACATATTACCCGACACCCGTCGATTAATAGCTCCCTTGGGCTCACCAAGCAAATGCCGAATGCGCCCCCAAGGCCCCTTTCTAGTCCCTACAGCGGTTGTTCTGGTCTTTAGCCGATCAACCTACTGATTCTACCTGAAATAAGGATCATGGTGGATTCATTTACATTACTCCCACTCGGTAGTGTTTCGATGCAAGACAAGGCTAACCGCGAACGTGTTGACATAGATCCCAAATACTTAGTCCGGTGAACCCGTTGTCATGTTCTTCCGCTGGCAGACACGCCATGACTTTCGACACCCTTCTGTTGCGATCATCTGCTCACTACCCCGAGACTAGATCGGCTTGTGGCTGTTTTCAAACCGACCACATCAGTAACAAAATTATGTTTCAGCTGTTATGTCACTGTCTAAGTTACGCCGACACTGCAATCCTCGTTAGGTTTCTGTTTTTATGCAATCGTAGGTGGTTTTTCCGAGAATATACGTCTGTTCAAACAGTTATTTGAAGCTTGGGTTATGCAGTATCCACCGCCTGGAAGTTGGAACTCCACATGCCACTACAAGTTCGTGCACTCTAGGCACTTCATCTGGAGAATCCAAAGTTGGCAGACAACACCCCGCTGATCATTGGACCATCCCACAGATCACACAGATCACTGACGGCTAAGCCGACTGTGCCTCAGAATTGCCGTCGCTGTGCAGACAAGTGTTGTTATAATCTGAGTTCGGTATACGGATACTAATAAAGATCCGACACTGCGAAGACTAACGATGACGTCGACAGGGTCTTCATGCACTTAGGGAGGGCCCATCACATATCCGTTTCATCGGCCAAGTAACTGACAGAACAGTTAAACAGATCCCTGGGCAGCCAAGATCAGCATATCTTATATCGTCCATTGGGTTCTGGGTCTCCCGGAGAACTACATACAGACTTGAATTATATCATCTCTGACTGGGGACGAAGTAAATCGATCGAGGATACGGATAGTTAGGACGCAAGTCAAAATCACCACGCATGTCACATCACGCATTTCATCCCAGGATTGTATCGTAACAGGACCAATACGAGAAAGGCTTCTGAGGATTCACAAGCCCAGCCCTTTGAACGTCTCTGCACTTCAGCAATCAGCTTGGTAAGAACACGTTTGTTCCAAACAGAAACGGAGCTGTGGACGAATGCGTGAGTGTTCATTTTGGTTTGAAGCTTCATCATACAGTTATGACTCGATACAGCTGTGGCTGACGGAAGCGTGGCTACTATCGCATGGCAAAAAGCAATCAAAAGGGACTTGGCACGTGTTGTCGCTTAAAGTTTGACACGCGCCGTCCTGGATGGCTTGTCCTATTTTGTCTCAACATCATTTACCAAGCCTAGATGTGCTCACCCTTGGAGAAAACATTCGACGCCCACAACCCGAGCCGATATTTTTCATAGCGGCAGGTCTGTCTGTTGATGGCCCAAGGTTTAGGACCCAGCTGAAACACTTAACAAAGCCAGCTTTCTAAGGTCAGAGATTGGATACGTACTGCGTTACTATGTGTGCTTGTATGGACCTCGCACGATCCTACTCTCATGACTCGCGAGCTGGGAAGCTTGATTGTTGGTTGCTTCGAACCAATTGCTTGGAGAAGTCCACCAGGCAGGGCAGGGCAGGGCACCGAACGCTTGGCTTCATGCCCCTGTCCCTCCTCAAGAAGAAGCTTGGTCGATCACTGTCGACTGCACACCCACCTCCTGAACCCTACGCCAAGAAATCCCGCCAGTGTAAGCGAGTGAAGGGGAGGCGCCCGCTAAAACGACGATCATCCAAATTAGCCTGCTTAGCTAGTGACGACACAGGTGAAAACGAAAAGGTCTCCAGGAGCGTGGCTGAGATGCCCGAACGAACACCAGTCGCACCAATACCACGACACCATTGCACTGCCGGTACGCCGCTACTCGTTGTCGCGCAAATCATCTGAACTTGGTTCGAGAGCTAGGAAGTGCCCAAGCCCAACCTGAAAACACAAGCTTATTCTCTTCACTAAGCCTGATGTCCAATTCCTATTTTCACATCGTTAGCAAGGAACGTGGCCGGCACAAATTGACTGTGTGAAAGGAGGTTTTCTGCCACGGGTTGAAACGCTCCCGCGTAAGAACCAATGAATGCTGCATTCTAGCAATCGAGCCTTGGACCGGTAAATTACGAAAATTTGAGCAGGTCAAGCACAGAATTGACAGAGGCCCCGGAGACGATCTAAAGTTCAACATCTAAAGATTTCATCATGGACACGCAAGAGGTTGCATTGCGTTGTATCAAAATAATTATTTGGACCGATCTTGTCTCGTCGCTTGTCCATCATACTCGAGAGCGGGCGCCGGATCAGCTCTGGGGTAAGCTATTGGAAGCTTCAGAGGCCTGTAGAGTATGTACACACAAATGCAGGCCACAGCGACGAAACCAGGATGGAACGAGAGTTGAGCACTAGGAACGGTTCTGACACCGAATAAGGAAACGGTGGCCCGGAACTCGATGCAGCGCGGCGGCCGGGATGGCACGCTTGGCTCAAGGTTCCAGGTTAGGTGGACACCCTATCTCGGCCGGGCGCGTGGAACTTCCGGCGCCGGAGAGCAGCTTTTGGTTGATTTGGGGCTAAGGTCACCACGCACAAACACTACCGCCTTGTTCGGCGAACTTAATGCACGATCCATTGAGATGAGTGTGAGTGAGCCTGAGGGCAGGCAGAGGTTTAGGAGCGGGAAAGGGCACGGTCGTTAGAGCCAGGGGACATGTCTTCGATGGCATCGACACAGGCAAATGAGACCCCACGAAGGCCATGCTTAGGGAGCAGGGCAGGGATAGCAATTTACAGCGACTGATACTGATACAGATGGTGCTGTACGTACCACAACCAGCCAGCCTATCGACCGTTTGACCACGGGGCGATCACGGATATCCTGGCGCATGGCCAAGCATTCTAGCACACACACTCGTGGATCTCACTCACACCCATACACCGAGCGCTAACTTACATAGCGTGTATGTACCTCGGTATCCCACACTCCACACACTCCCTCTTGACCCAAGACAGACATGCAAACCGCCCCTCCCTTGCTCAAGATCACCATCAGAGTCGTCACAACATCTCCTTCGTGAGTGGGGACGTCACTGCCGGGGCAGATGCTCAACACAAACTCAAGAGGTTAGACCCATCGAGCGGCATCAGGGAACCTCCCGTCAGCATCCTTCAGCCCTTGCCCTTACCTATCGTCTCCTTTGTGACCCTGTCCAGTTGCCAACGATTTCCCTTGATGAGTCCTAGGATTTGAGCACCGGTAGGGCTCCACACCCAATTTTGTGACAGCTGCGCTTGGAAGGCCATTTTGGAGGGGGCGTAGGCGCATCAAAACAAGTCTACGGTCCTCAGATCTGATAGACGGGTCTCCTCCACCCTTTGACAGGTTCCTTTTCCCACACCAAGGACTTACTTAAGTTCCCAAGTCCCCGACTATTTCGCATCTAACATGAGCTTCTAAGAACTCTTCCCATCGAATACGACTTTGGCAGTACGAAAGGCTCGTCATTAATATTTGCTAGTGCCTTTTCATATCCCGCCCATAACATCATCGATAACTATCAGACACGGTACTGCCTTATTTAATACTGGCTATTTGACTTGACTGCTTCGATTACTTCTATCAGCAAATCCTGATTAATCCCGAAGCCGCCCGCAAATGCATACAGCACCTAGATCTTTGATGCCTAACCAATACAATCAACAAGAAACACACCTTTTTACTCGACGCGACCAGTATCAACCTCCTTCGCCCCCAATGGAGGAACAAAAGTGCTCTCTACCCTCAATCTCGAACCTCCTGGGTTTGGCCGATGCCGGCTCACCCACGAGTGAGTCCTCACCAACCTCACGGCAACATTCTCCTCGCTTTGAAGGTAAGTCGTCTTCATGATGACCACGAGGGCGGCTCGCTCACAATCTCATAGTTCCTCCACCTTCACATGGTCATAGCCGAGCTGGATCTGAATGGGCTAAGTCGTCGCACCGAGGGCTTCCCCCTACACCACCTATGAGCACAGATGCATCTTTCGAAGGCTACAGCTCTCCCACAAGGAAATCATCCAACCAGGCATATCCAAGCTCAGCACCAAGACCATACTATTACGAGACCACGCCACCTCTAGAAGTCGATGCACAGCGTCAGGCATCAGTAACAGCTATTCCTCGAGCAACACCTCCAGCAACGGCCCCTTATCCTCAGCAAGCTCACCCCACGGTATACGCCACTCCAGCACCAGTGGGCGCTTATTACCAGACGGCACCGGTGCCTCCTGCCGTCCAGCCTCAAGAGATGAACCCTTACTACCAGCGCCCTCTCCCACAAGCTTATCCCCCACCAGTGAGCATGCCGGCACCTGCTCCCTCGGGAGCTAACCCGTGGCAGCACCATCACTATCTTAACCCAACCGGAGCGGCTGCCTTCCCGCAAAGCCAGGATAGGTACATTTGCCCGACTTGCAATAAAGCCTTTAGCAGGCCCAGCAGTCTACGAATCCATAGTCACTCACATACCGGAGAGAAACCCTTCAAATGTCCCCATGCTGGATGTGGCAAGGCTTTCAGCGTACGCAGCAACATGAAACGTCATGAGAGGGGCTGCCACAGCTTCGAATTCAATGGATCTGTGATTCGGGGTTGAGGGATTATGTGCCGGATGACGAGATGGTTCTACGAAGAGGGATGAATGCCGAAGGAAGCTCGAGACGATTATGCCTCACGGAACGAGCATTATTACAACAAGACCCTGGACGCATGGATCCGGTCTTTTTCACTTGTTATTGGGATGGAAATCCTGGTTAGACCCATGTCTAAGGATTTCCCGGTTTGGCGTCGCGGCGAACTGGGGAAAAGACGGAGGGAGGAAAAGCTACATTCTCTTCTCGACGCTGGTCTGTATTACTGGAAGTCTGGTGTATCGTGTTATTTTATTATTGTATTCCTTTGATGGATCGTGTCTTTTACTTTCTTGGGAGGCAGCTATGGTCATTTTAGAAGGCGCAGAGGTGGAAACTGGCTTGAGAACCTAGCGAAGCATCGTGCACGGCGTTTAGTTTACTACTGTATGTTCTTTTATCGGCACGCAAAGAGATCGACTGATGAGAGTCGACGGAGATAGCGAGAGGCGGATACGATACGCCGAGGCAAGACCAGGGAGGCTATGGAGCCATGAATATCAAAATATTACAAGATCAAAGCACAATCGTTGCCCGAGATGAAGATGTGAATTTGGAGTCATGCAGACATGAAAAGTGAAGGAAGTATGTAGCAATGGAGTAAATTAACTCGGCCTAATGCTCTACAGATGTCGACGTACGCCGACCAATAGGGATATTAGGAGAAGTGGCCGAAACGGGGAGAACTATGATATGTACTAATTACCTACCTAGAAGGCGAGGAGTGCACAGCTTGGACCATCAAAGATGAAATCGGCTGATAGACATGGGTGAGGCGACCAGACAAAAGAGGGAAGGACAGGTAGGGCAGGGCATGACAGGCAACGGTTAAATTTGAGCATGTGCTATTACTATTGTTGTTATTACTATGACTTGTTTGCGTCTGTCTGTTAGTTGCAAGTTCAAAGGTACTGACTGTACTGACTGTTCGTTGCTTTTGCGGGTGAGACACCACGAGATGAGTGGATCTTGATTGGTCTGAGAAGGTTTTGACCGCTGCAGTGATGACGAGAAGATCTCCCTGCAACTGCAACTGTAACATCAGCTAATGAATGAATGAATGGCAATACCTACCTATTCAGTGCATTCTGGGTCGTTCATTCATTCATTCACTCACTCACTCATTCAATCAATGACTCCATTTTCAAGAACCTTGGAAGCACAAACGGGTCTCAGAAGATCCATGCTGTTGAGCGAAGTGACGTCGTTGACTCGTGCAAGACGATTATACGACGTTTTTGAAGACAGAACTGGAATTATCTACTGCGACATCACCTAACAAGAGCCTGGAGGATCCCTGTAATATCTGCTGGGTACAGAGCGAAAATAAGGTAAAAGGTGCCTGCCCCGAGGGATCGGGTCCCTTTGTCATTGATGACAAGTTGGGTAGCTTGGACAAGAATGGAAGGAAGTCATCGGGGGATGTGTCGGCGCAAATATGAACTTGGAGAGAAGAGGGACCCAAAAGAGGAATGCAATGGGTAGGGGTAGGGGTAGCTAAGGTTAGTATCCGTACAAAGGAAGGGAAAGGTGAGGTAGGGGTCGCTATGCTAAACCTGGGGTTCCCTCACCTTCTGTTGCTTCTGTTACTGCTGCTCAGGCTCATGCTCATGCTCATGTCAAGGCTGGGCGGACCGGTTCGGGTTGGTACTCCGCCTGCCTCGTGTCTTCTTATGGTCTGTGTGAGAGAGTTGACTTATTAATTACTACTGTACCTTAGTTAACAGTCATCTTGGAGAAACTGACTGTTGACTGACTTGTGACAGGGGCAAGGGCAAGGTATTTGATGGGCTGGGACAAGGGCTTGAATGATCGACTTCCACAATCCATTCTTTTTCTTTTGTGGTGCTCGGTAATTATTATTAGCACGTACTTACCTAGGTACTCAAGATTGCAGCATAAAGAACATTGCAAATGAGTGAAATGAGCAGCATTGAATGCCTTGCTGCACATAGGTACTGTCTGTACATACATATGTACAGTGCATGCTCTGTACTAACATATGCTCGCAGAGTTGCACTTGTGAATGTAACCGGAAAAGGGTATAGTCATGCACAATTAATGGCGATCTTCAGTGGGAGTAAAAAACAAATAAACTTAGTACTGTACCTTACCCTCCGTAAGGTAAAGTAGTGTGACCTCGGACACAACGCGATAGGCCATCTCGCCTGAGACAAGCGGGTGACACTGATTGACTAGCATCGGAGGAAATAACTCGACATTGACCTCGGGGCTTGAGCTGGGCTGGGGGAGTCGAATTGACTTGAATTGAATTGGACTGGATTTAATCAAGGGGCCACGGCCACGAGGAGGATTCCTAACAAAGCATGGTGCAGATCCGTTAGTCTGTCTAGTCCATGGTACATACCTATTCTTTCCTGTCCCATCACCAAGGTAAAGTACCTCGAGGCTTGAGGCAAAAAAAAAGATGCTAAACAGTTAGTGCGTGTGAGAGCCGGAGGTCAGTGAATTGAAGGGACGTCGCAGTCAGCCAGGAAAACGGCACAGACCAGAAGTAGGACCATGACACCGGATGATGCTGTCTCTTTAGCACGGGAATTTGATCAAGCTAGAGTTTAGTCCTCGGGCTGGGCTGGGGGAGGCTGAAGTGATTAATTCCTTTTGGGCTGATCTTGCGATAGCCTCACAGCTTTGTTTTGGACTTCAATGCGCACACGCACACGCACACGCACAAGCACATGCACGTGTCGTGTCACAGACAATCTTCAACGCTTCAGATTGACAATACGACGGGAAACCCGTAATTGCATAAGGACAAGCACAAGCACAAGCACAAGCACAGCACGTCCACGAACTCGCAAAAAGGAAATCACAGAGAACCTCGGACATTTTCTTCTTTCATGCTTCTACGCTTTGACTGTGGTCCAAGGTTCACGGCTCATCTCAAAGAAGCGGTGTTATCAGCTCCATTCGTTCAGTCATTCATTCATTCCCTCATTCAGGGATCCCATCAGGGCCACGTTTTGCCCCCCTTGGGCGGGGAACTTCTGGATCCATCTGTGACGGTTAAGAAAAAACGGGCGGGCGGGCGCAGGGAAAGAAATGCAAAGGAAAGAAGAAAGAAAGACGTTGGATCGTTTGGAAGGGGAAAAGTGATCGCAAGACATGGTCCTGTTCCCGGGGTGATGCTTGCTAGAGGACCATAGCAATGGGATGGATGAGATCTATTGTTTGGAGATGGGCTCAGAATTAATCGACGACATATACCAGGGAGGTACGGGATATACGAGGGACGATGCAGTGGTATGAGATGTATCGCATGGGTATTTCCAGATATCAGCTACCCAAGCATCCATATAAAGTTCCCTGGATCACCACAACCTGCCTGTCTACGAACCTATGTACCTACAGCCCAGTACCACCTCATCGATGGATGGTTCATTCATTATTAAGAGTTCCCGAGGGTGAGGATTGACGCCCAGACGTTTGATGATAGCCGCACACCTCCGATTCGCTGACCCCCGACTCCGAGGGCGCTTCCACAGTGCAGTAGCCAGATTTCAAGGGTGTCTGGCTGTCTGCATCTCCATCTTAGCGCCCTCGCGCTAAACCCCAGGGAGGGACAACAGCAACCAAACGCCCGTCACAAGGGGTGTGTGGCCCGGCGGCGCGGGGCGGGGATCTCCCAGCAGGGGTTCAACCCTGGAATCACACAGACACTGAGAGGGCACACTACGAACATGCGCACCCCTCCCTCCTCCTTCACTGCCGTACCTTAGCCTGGTTCCAAAAACGGGCAAAGGAGCCAGGGCATGGTTGACATCCATCGTAATAGCATGAGGTTTTATCAGGATCAAGCCTGTTGAAACTCCCAAGATTCCAGACTCGTGATGCTGTCCGTGTTTGTTTATGGTCTTTGCTTTTATTATTATTACTGATGGGTTCTGATATTGTAATTTCATTCTTCAGTAGCCTCTTTGCGATCATGACCTGACGCTTCTACACTCTTTACTGTCTATAGTCCGGACGACATATGGACGGGCTATCCCTACCTAGTAGGTAGTCATCTATCGTATTGCATCGTATCGCATCACATCACATCACATCGAATTGATCCATTTTCAATCCCTTCCCTTCGGCTAACTCGTGTCTTGAACTTTGTTGCTAAAAGCAGGAGGTGAAAAAGGACATATCAGAATCAGTCAGTCAGTCAGGTTTGCCGATGTTAGTCCGTCCTGGGTAATCTATCATTCTCCATCCCTAACCTCACACGATCCCACTCACATCAAGAACCATCCAATACAAACCATGCCAAATGTATCGTCGTCATCACAACGCTCTCGCTTGCTTACGCAGGGGCCAACTCTACTCAACTGCCGGGTTCTTCCCAAACTTGATTGATACTCCGTTCTGAGTCTTGTCTCTCCTCTCTCTGTGTCTGTCTGTGTCTTTTTCGTTTTTTGCCCCCCTGAGATCTTCCACTGATAATGTGATTTTATTGCTTGTTGCGTCTCATCTTGCGGCCTCTTGGCGGCAAAAGGAGACAGAGATAGTACGGAGTGCAGGAGGACAATCGCTCCATTGTCCACCCACAATGGCACTGCAACGGCGGGTACCAACCAGGGAGTTCCTGGGTTTCGCTTCGAGTCAGGAAACCGTTACATCTCTCTTCACCGTCTTTGCATGACATAATGGCATCGTTTTGGGGGTCCAGCAGCGCATGCATTGCATGTCCAGCAAGTCAGCTTCGCCTTGCGTAACTGTCATATCACCTTGAGGTCTCGCTTTCTTACGGTGGTTGCAATGAGACCGCCACTGATGGCCTCATCACAATAACGGTGCACATAAGAATCCAACATGCATACCTGCTATAGTATCTAGACATCAGTAACTGAGTCTGTCGAACAACAGCGTCCTCAAGTTTGGATCGTCTGCAAGGCTGTGGGCACCTCATGAAGATGCGACACAAGGTCATGTTCCCTGTTACGCATGGGAGATCTACCCA